AATTCTTGAAATCAAATATTTTAAAAGCTCCATTTTAAGTTCTTAAGCCGGTTTACGTGGTGAAAAGAAAAGTGTTTGAAAAGTCCCGAAGCGTCGATTCTTCTGAAAGTGAAGAAGTGAAGTCTGCAGTCTGTGAACACGTATAGGATCGCCCCCGTCACTACATCAGATTTGATAGACCGCAAATACTCGCTAAAGAACACCGATTCCTTCCAAGGATGATTCGCAAGGCTATTGAAATCAAAAAACATCCTAATTTCAATAGAGAAGATGGCTGGGTGCTACCATCTGCTTGGGATCCGATAATAAATAAAATTAAATCCCAACCCAAGCATACAACTGCAAGACTTCAAGATACCATAAGTTCATACTGTATATATCGGAACAAAAGTTAAATTTTAATCAATGGTAACCGCGGTTAATTATGACATATGGACGTTGAACATCTCAGTCCCGCCCGTGACCATGAGTGCTGTAAAGCGTTCGAAACGTCGGGTATTTAAAAAGTTAAATATACACGATAAATTCCGTAAAAACTAGTATTATTTCAATGTGTAGTGTTCGCGTAAATATAAGAAATCATTAGGTTTCCATTTTACTAAATTTGTGGCGGAAAATTAAAATCAAAGTTGAAATTTTTTGTTACTTTTAAACAAACATATGACATAATATATCCACAAATTAAACACACGATCCAAAATATTAAAAAAGTCACATCTTAATGTGATGCGTTCTTTTTATGCTTCAGATGTTATTGAAAAATATTTTTTTATATAATTAGAAGTGACAAAAGATACACACAGTTCACCTGATGAGAAATTGTATGCTCGATATACAATCAAAACAGATGCGTTGAAGTCCCCTGGGATTTCGACGTATTCTAGATAAGATGAGTTCCTAACAGTCACTATACAAAACAAAGCAGCATTATGCTGCAATTTCACGATGGTATTCTGTTCAAGGTTGGTCTTTCTTCGGTCAATCATTCTTGCTGCAGACTTATTATGTTTAGATAGGCTCTACTAAGTTAATGCGTTTTTAATTGTTAAGTTTTCTAGACGGTAGAGCCAAGCAGCAGCTATGGTAGTTGCAGTACCATTTGGTCTGCTCTACCATATTTAAGCGCATGTTTTTAAATGTTTCAACCTTCTTACGCGGTGAAGCCACCCTGCAGCTAAAGTAGTCATACATAACTGCAGCGCACATGTATGGGTCGGCTCGACCAGGGTAAGACTCTCTCAGCGAATACAAGCGTTAAATAGCGCAATAATGCTGCTGTGTATCGTACGGTGAGTATAAAAAAACTTTTGTAAGTGTAGAGAACCACTTTTCTAGTAAACGAGGTATTCCATCTTAGTTTTCAGTGACAGCGCATCTTTTGGTATTTAATCAAGGATATATATAGGATGTCTAATAGCTACAGTATCCCCTTACCGTCAGGTCGAATGCTTGCTCGCTTGTCATCCTTGATATATTAAAAACTAACTTATGAAAAATAGCTTTTAACAAAAAGATTTTATTGACTTTATCGAGATATAGACATTAAAGAGAAGCAGACTATAAAGAAATACAAAATGATTGCGAATAAAAAAATAAGGAATAACATAGCTTCCCATTATGATGTTAGTGCTAAGACATACGAGAGTAGTGTATAGAAAAATTATAGACTCGACTTCAGATGTGAATTTTTTAATTCTTTTTAGTTGTTTGAAGAATGCTTTTACATTTTATTAAAAGTTAATTTTTGTACCCTTTAAGTGGACTGAGCAAAATTGCCTCGAAGTGTGGAAAAACTGGAACGTCGTCCAAATATTTATTTCAAGAATTTCATCTTTTATTTTTCGATTGTAAGGTGAAATCTTTTCTCCATTTTTTATTTTTATTTTTTTATTGTTTAAAAAAGTTCAATTTTCCACACTAGGATTTTCTCCCGAATTATTGAGGCGGTTTGCTTACATAAATTGCACAAGGACAAACATCGGGAGTCTGAACAGTTATTTGTAGGTTATACAAATACTTTTTTCATGCTGGATTAAAATCCGCGCTCCTCAGAGCTGCAACTTAGTGCCAAGTCCCTGCGTCATGGAGTCGTGTTATATGGGAATACCCCTGAAGTAGTGACATCAATTTAACTGCGCTTTTGATATGTAGCATTTGTGTGTGTACTAAATTAAATTTATACGAAACGCGCTGGTTTTGCCGTTGATTCAGTACAATTTGGAAATGGTTTTGCTTCTCGTAATAGCATAACATAAATAACACTATACAGTCTAATGATTACATTTATATATTGAATATTTAAAAAAAGCACGTGTATTGTTCGCACGCAGCGTAAGATCTTTAGAAAAGGAAGCCAAGATAATAGAAAACACTGCATACTGTATTCTATCTCATTTTCTCGTAGTCTAAATCATATTTTCATTTTATCGAGTTTCAGATCACAAGGATTCTAAAGAAGTTTTCGCTTCAAAAGTATTTAATAGAAAAATTTAATCATTACATTATTCATAATTCTACCGTGAATTGATGGTTTTTAGAATATTTACTACCATATATCGTCCCGTGGGTGTCGTAAGAGACGACATAGGAAAACTATCTAGGAGATGGGCGGTACCGACTTCCTAGTAACAGCTGAATAAGTATTTAAAACTGAGGTTGCCAACACGATTCTTCAGCGTGACAACTGTGGCAGATATCCTGCATCATACATAGCGCCTAACGAGGCAATCTATGGGAAGGCCTATGTTCTGTGCTGGACTTTGATATGCTGTAATAATTGCATAATTAAATGCATAGAATATTTTATTAATTTGATTGATTATTTATTAATATAAGTCACGCATGGTAGAGCATTGCTGTAGCTATATTTAAAAAGAATGCGCATAATAGCAGACAATACTTCCGTTTCATGTGGTGAGTAGAATACTGCAGACCTTTTTTCTATTTTTAGTCGTTTTTCCTTTTTGTTAGTCGTGACAACGCATATAAATTTTAATTCGTAATTAAAGATGGATATAGTTGTTAATAGGCCCCAGCATCCATTTACCATTAAGTGGACTACTACTACATAAATGCAGAACAAGAGTTTGAAACCGATCCAATTGTAAGACAGGGTGACATCATATCCCCAAAACTCTTCATCACTGCATTGAATGATATTTTCAGATGAAGATATCAGCATTAATGGCCAATACATCACCAACATTTTTTATACAAAAGGGTAAACTAGCAGCGGCTCACCTGATGGTAAGTGTCACCTCCTATTTGCCGACGATATTGTCATTATGGCAGAATAGCAGGATGACCTTAGAACGATACTGCACCTCAATAGTGTCTCCACACGGATAGGTCTCAAGATCACAAGACACGTCAAGTGTAACCGTTCATGTCGATAGTTGTTGGTAACACTAAGAACGAAGTTGTCGACGAGTATTTTTACTTAAGGCAAATTGTCCAATTAAGGGCCGATTTCACCAAACTCATAAGTTTTATTCCCAGAGTAATGATGTAAGTTATTCTGGGATATCAAATTTTACATTTTACCAACAATTTAACCCAAGAATAAATAGTTAACCAAGAGATAAGATTTATACTCCCGATTCTGAAGGAATACGGAGTTATTCTTCGGTTAAAAATGGCTAACAGGCTGTCAGCTGTTAATTATTTGACATTTTTAATCTGTCGCGTACGTCCAAGTTTCTTGTTCCCGAATTGCTGTTTGATTATATAATAAATTTTTAGTTTAAATATTATTGAGATATTAGCTAAACATAATGCAACGTTTGAGAAGAATGATTAACAACAGTGACAGTGATGATAGTGAAGATGAAATCTATGTTGTAAGACGTCCAAGGTGGATAAAAGAAAGGAATAATTATTTTTATGACTATGATGACGAAGACTTTATGATAAGATTTCAGTTATCTAAATAAGCAACTCATAATCTTTTAATCAACATTGAAGATCATTTGGAATTTATATCAGAGGTGAGTCTTTGTACCTATTTATACTCTTCGTAGGTATATAATACGGCAATGAATTGCTCTAAAATAAAACTGTTTTGGTTTACAGGAATCAATCAATTTCTACGATTAAATCAGCTTTTGGCAACACTAAGGTTTATGCTACGAATAATTCACAATTAACGATCGGTGATTTTAGTGGGCTCAGCACACCTACAACACACAGAATAATACATAGAGTTAGTGCTGCGATAGCGTCATTGAACCAAGAGTACATAAAATTTCCGAATACTCAACAGGAAATTCGGCGAAATCAAAGGGAGTTTTATGGTATAGCAAGATTCCCTAGAGTTATAGGGGCAATGGACTGCACACATGTCAGAATTTCTTCACCCGGGGGGGATCAGGCATAACTGTTTAGAAACCGAAAAGGCTATTTTTCTATTAATGTCCAGACTATATGTTATGCAAATTTGAAAAATTATCGATATTGTCGCAGGATGGCCTGGGTCAGCACATGACAGTACTATGTTTAATAATTGCTGCCGTAAAGCAAAATTTGAAGCTGGTGATTATGGTGAAGGAATTCTACATGTAGATGGTGGATATGCTGCTACATCCTATTCTATGCCCCCACTAGAGAATCCTGGAACAGCAGTAGAGCAACTGTACAATGAGTTACAGATTAGGACAAGAAATACTGTTGAAAGGTCTTATGGGGTTTGGAAATGAAGATTTCCAGTACTAGCTTTAGGACTACGAGTTAAATTAGACAAGGCTTTGGTTATAATTATGGCAACGGCTGTGCTGCATAACATATTGCGTCAACGAGGAGAAACAGTTCCACCTGATGATCCATATTTGGTCCTTCCAGCAACTTGGGAGGCGCTCTTACAAAATGGACAAATAAGGTGTGAACAATCAAGTACTCCTCAGCGAAATAGAGCCAGAGAACTCCTAATAAACAATCACTTTAGGAATCTTTTATAGTTTATTGTGAGAAAAAACTTAAATAATGAAACCATGTTTTTTATTAAGTCAAATTTTTAATGTTTTTAGTTTTCTCCGCCTTAATTGTGATAATAATAACTTAGTTTTAATTTTCTCCTGCTTTAAAACTTCATTTTTGATTTTAATGTTTATCTCAAAATTTTTTCTTGCGCCTGCCCTCTCTTCAGCAGCAAAATTCATCTGCATTTCGGTAGCTTTTTGTTTTGTTTTTTGGTATTCTTCTAATGATGAAGATGGTAGAGCCGGTCTGCGCTTGAAACTCCAACTCTTACTTTGAGTAGGAGAAGTTCCTACATCCTCTTCTCTCTTACTCACTGCCCGTAGAGGTGCAGATTTTGGAGTTTGCAGCAGTTTTGTAGTGTAGTCTCCCCAATCCTTCAAAACAAAAATAATTTTGTAATGTTTTCACAAAATTACTAACTTATTTAATATACTTTTAATGGGTTAAGTAACTAAATAAAAATTTTGAATACTTTAGAATACTATTTTAATATTAATTTTTAGGATACATACAGTCTCCTTGTAATTTATCATGATTTTATCTGCTTGTATCTATATCCATTGACAGAGGCATGGTCATGGACTTAGAATATATAAGGAGCAGGAACATATATGTGTGTTACATCTGGAACTGGAATAAAACCACATTATTGATAAAATAACATTATTTATTAAATAAAATTTAGAGATATCACTTAAGTGATGCTGTTAAGTCAAAGACAGTCAAAAACTGTGTACCTTTAATAATAATAATAATAATTTGTTTATTTGCACTTATAATTTCATACAACATCATTGAATTCTGACTCCCAAACTAGGATACCCTGTATTTCAAGAGTCAGCTCCTTCCCATTCAGTAACTCTTTGTGTCAAAAGTATATTAGAGAAATGTTGATTATTTAATACTCAGTTAACACTATATACATGTGCGTGTGTGTGTGTGTGTGTGTGTGTGTGTGTGTGTGTGTGTGTGGTAAGTAGCGTGTTTGTTGCACTGCACATATAGTTATTCATATGGAGCTATTAAATTTTCGCATTTATCATAGTCACATTCTTTAAGCCAGTTTTATAACATTCTTTTAAATGTATAACTTGAAGCTTTTTTTTGTTTTGTGCCCTTTTTGGGGGTTTTTTTTTTGTTTTGTGGGTTATGATGTGCAACACTGTTTTATTTAGTATATTGTATAACTTGGGAGCTACGTAATTATAATTCCTTTTGCCGAATATGCATTTAACTTTGGGGATACTTATACGTACAGTTCTTTTTGAATTTTGTATTTGCGGAACACTACATCTATGAAAGCGTCTAAGACATTGATATATAAATAAATTGCGAACACTTAGTACTTCAGGTAACTTATATACCATTGCTGTCGAATATCTATAAGGAAGCGATAGTATTACTTTTAGTACAGCCCTTTGAGCTCGCTCTAATTCTATAATATGTGTTTTAGCAGCGCATCCCCAAGAACATATGCAATAACTGATAACGCTCTGGCACAACACTTTGAACGTTTGTAGTAATAGATTTGTGTTTGCAACTGTTTTTAAATTCTTAAAGATATAGATAAACTTTCTGATTTTCTTAGAAATAGAAATATGTGGAGCCCAATTAAGCTTATCATCAGCAATTATACCAAGATATCGAACTCTGTGTACCTTTAGTGGAAGCCAATGTGTTGCTAGGAATCTCTTCAATGATAACATGATTATTGCTCAAATTATCACTTTCATATTCATTTACCAGTCCAACTACCGTCGTAGATATCAAAGCCAAGATTTTGCTTTTGATAGTGTAAGATAGTGGGTTGTCCTCAAGCTTAGGCTTTGCAGATCCACCACCTGAACAAAATATTAAACATTAGAGATAAAAAACACAAAGTAATGTCAAGGATGTCACAAAAAATTCCATAGGTGTTAACATGGTATAAATAATTACAGCTTTAGCTTCGTAAGTAACACGTAGAAATTAAGATTATTACCTGCTTGAATCAAGCTTTGCCTTTCAGCAGACGATTCTTTTTGGTGGATTTTTTTAGACTTTCCCACTGTGCTTTTACGTTTTCCGCTGTCCTATATCCAAAAGTGGTTTGGGAATTAAATTCTTCCGAAATTTTTACCCACTCCGCATTTTTCTGTTTCATAGTAACAGCATCGGTACGCTTATTTTCTACTACACTGAAATATTCAGCCACTAAATCCACAAGCAACATCTTTTCTGAAATTTTCCAGTTAGGACTGCGTTTTCTGTCCGACATTATTAATTAAAATTGATATTGAAGTAACAAAAAAGCTAAGAAAAATACAACGTATATCAACAGTTGATGAAAATGAATCTGCTTCATACTGACGTATAACCCTGCTAAATTAAAAAGTTTGTTGTGTACCTCGCCGAGAAGGAAAGCAATGACATACTTAATTTGTTTTCTTTATACAATCATTCTATTGCTCACTCAAATAGTCTTCCACAGATAAGTAAAACCATTATTCGAAAGAATAGTTAATCTGAGACTAACTAATCTGTTGTTTTCCATGGTGAAATATCTTTATTCTCGGGTTAGTTAATCTTAGACAACGACGTCGTTGGTGAAATCGGCACTAAGTAAGTAAAATATCGGCCAAGAGATGGAATGACGGATACAATTCGGTTAGGAAGCGTTTGAGGTATTGTCATTTTCTCATCTCCCACATATTCTTCCAAAGTTAAAAATAAAAATGCAAAAACCAGTGCTTATTGCCAGAGATGGCATATAAATCTGAAACGTAATATTTTACTGCAGGTCATAGATTGTCATTGCTTTGGAGGGGCTTCATCTTTGAAGAGGGCTATGTTCGGAGTTTATCTGCGTGATAGAATCCACAATGGATAATAGAAAAGAATTATTTTTATTCAATAAAGATTATTACAAAATACTTATTGAAAGTCATTTTTTTATTTATTTACCATTGGTTCAAAAATATCTTTGTTCTGGGAAAAACCAGCGTAAGATTTTATATTTTTAAACATATATAGATATATGTTCAAAAATGCAGTAGAACTAGAGTAACCGTCATAGCTAAAGTGGCAATGACCCGGATATATTGCTCGAAGAACTTACAACCAATGAAAAAAGAAAGGATCTCGTGTGGCAGCCTCGTACCGGTAAGCGAAGTGTTTAACCACCACTACACACTACACTACATTGAAGTGTTGACCTGGTAAGACAGGTAGGAAGTCAACAGATGCAGGTGGCTCAGAACCGTGTTTTAGGGCGTACCATGGGGAGAAGGGGCTTATTTCCAGTAGCGAATTGTTGAAGGGCTGTAATGAGGATGATATTGATGATTATAGAAGTAGTGAACATTTTCCCTTAAATATAATAAACAAATAACAAATTACCTTTTAAAGCCAAACGTCTAACTGTTACATTTTTATATATTTTCGTTCGGGTGATAAAAGAGTTTTTGTATCCATCCAATTTTTCCAAAATCTGTAATATATATGACCGTTTTGTGATAAAAGAACAAATTTCCCTGACCGGGTGACCCATGTCACGTTCCTATGTAATTTATTCGGCTATACTTTTCACACAGTCCTTTACGCGTCTACGCAATAAATACGTCGCATATTTTTAAAAGTAATTTTCAACGTAGAAAAAACAAAATCGTTTTTATATATTAATAGTTTATCGAACACTAAATGCAATATTATGGTTTACAAATAAATATTCATGAAGTATTGGTTCATCGCAGAACAACAAAAGATTATTTATTAAAAATATAGTACTACTATGTTTTTAATGTATTATTAACTGTAATAACGTTGTCATGTAAGAGCTATAATGCGCAGCAAAGATTAAAAGTTGTTTTTTTTTCTCTAAAATAACTCTTTATATGCGATAATAGCGCATTATGTGAGATATTTTGCTTTAGTTGAAATGTAACGTAACGGCCTATATACATACGTCCCACTACATAGCACTGTGGAAACTATTTGCCGCGCGGAACTATTCTGCTGCCCTACTGGATGTTGAAGAATCTAAAGTTACAGCCTATATGCTTCCTACTCCTGGATCAGGCTCCCTCTTATTTCTGAGAGGGTTGTAGGGCAAGGAATTGTTCAACGCGTAGATTCAATTCGTGTTAATGGACTTGACATGTTTATGTTATAAATGTCAATTTCTGAGATTATGCAAGGTTCCTCGCGATATTATCTGTAGAGCATGTAGTAAATAAATTTAAAATTGCAACTAGGTAACACCTAAGCTATAGTACAGCTTTTTATAATTCGATAACTGTCCTGAACCGCTTCCGTTACAAATATTTGAGCAACAGTTTTCTTCGACAATGAGATCAATATTTCGACTAAGGAATTTCGATAGAGTTTAACAGTCGCAATTAAATTAATTGTTATATGGCTTTTTGACTATTTAAATTTTTAGTGTTAGTTTTTTTATATTATAGTTTCTTTTTTATATAGTTACGCTATGATGACTAGAAGGGGGCGTGGCTAATGATTGCGTCACCGCGGTGGTGGGGTTTTGCGCCCAGAAAGCCGGTCGCCGTAGCAGGTTGCAGGGTCACTTTGGCTCGAGCGGTCCGAGAGAGCGGTTGTGCTAAGAATTAGATATTACCTTAAATCATTAGTTTCTGATTAATATTGTATAAGTGTTATAAAAGATTTATATTTATATTACAAGTTTTGTTTTGAGTGCATTTTTATTAAGAATTTTACCACTAATCTGTAATATAAGAAGTGGGATAGTGCTTCGTTGCCTACCCGCTTTCGGGACACCTGACTAACATTAAAATTAAAAATATTAGTGTAGTAATTAGATTTTAATGATTTCGTAGTTTTTTTTTTTTGTTTAGTTTTCGGTTTATAAATTTCAAAATTTCTAAGCGAGGATCTCGCTCTCGTAAACGCAAGGATGTGCTGGATGCTATCCTTACTAGATTGAATACGCGCGAGGAACGTTTTACTTCAGCGCCGCCGCCGTCCGAGCCACCTTTACAGGCCGCATCAACATCTTCGGGGTTGGAATCCCATCCGGTACTGCCCGCGCTCATGATTGGTGCAGCCACCGAAGACGTACATGACGGCGATTCGACGGCGGCCTGCGCACCAGTTTTGCTATCACAGGAGAGCATTGCCACAGGCGGGAACGCAACTGGCAGAATCGTGGAGGCCATAACTTCGCTAGTTAAAGCAAGGTCTAATAATTATTATATTTCTAACTTCGAGCCTCATCTTCACAATATCGACGTTTGGTGCGAAGAGGTCGATAGGCCTAAAGAAACTAACGGATGGGACGATAACGAGTGTCTGTCGCCAATCGGTAATTTTTTAACGAGTGGTCTGGCACCGATCGTTCATGGATGAATTTCAGACGAGAATTTAAAATGTTGTGCCCTCGAACCGTCGATATTGCGTCTATTCTCTACGAAAAGATGACCAAAGATTCTAAAAGTTACGCCACTTATGCCGAATACGCTAGACGTTCATTGTTAAGGTTGGGTTTGTTTAGGGGACTATCTGACGAACTAATTGTTGCTATAGTATTTAGAGGCTAGAGGCATCACAGATCCTCATATTAAATAATGCAAAGTTACGACCCAACGATTTAGTGCAATTTTTGTCGATGTACATAAAACCAAAAAAAAACTATTTTCCGTCTACCCGGGACATATCTCGTGGATCGCGCTCTAGTTTTGGATCAATCATTACCCAACGGAACGAAAATAAAGGGGAGTTAGCGATTTAAAATATCACATGTGTGGAAGGTTTGGGCATAAACGTACTAAGAACGCGACTAGGTAATAGTTTGGGGTCGTCACTGTCTAACACGCAGTCCCCACATACTGTAACATGATCATTTTCCAAAAAGAGTGGCCATGAAATTAGTAACTGTTTTATCAAACAACGTTCAGAGTCTTCAAAACTCAACCCGCGCAATGTAATTTTTTGTAGTAAATTAGAATGTAACGTTTCGAGATCGACAATCGATGTTACAATCGCGGTAATCGAAGGCATACCGATTGATTTATTAGTAGATAGTGGTTCCTGTATATCACTCCTGTATATCGAGTTCTATGTTAAAACACTTTAAGGTTAACCGAAAACCAACATATCGCGCCTTGCGTGGTATAGGAAGTCAGATTATTGAATTTACCTCGTATGTGACATTAATTGTGGAGCAACCCCACATATCTATCGAAGCTGATTTTTATATGGTACCCCACAATTGCATCAGTACTCCGGTCATTATAGGCACTGATATTTTGAATCGTGAAGGCATCACATATATCCGACAGAATAGTGTTCAAATTCTGACTCGTACAGGCATACCAGTCATACCTGTACCGTTAAACCATGCTTTCCGTATTAATAACGTGAACACACCTATCATAGGTGAAGAGAAAGAACAGCTTTTGTTGGTAATAAATAATTTTTCAAGGTTCTTTATAACCGGCACGGCTTCGACCACAGTCACGACGGGTAGTACGAAAATAGACGTTTCCAACAACAAACCAGTATGCTATAGGCAAATTATCGTATGATGAGCTTCGCGTTCGAAGTATAGTTAAATACTTAATGGCTAAAGGCATTACACGTAAATCCAAATCACCATATGCTAGCTCCGTAATCTTGGTCAAAAGGAAAGACTGCACAGACCGAATGTGCGTCGATTATAGGGTCTTGAATTCGCGTATTGTAAAGGATAAGTTTCCTTTGCCACTCATAGAGGACCACATAGATAGGTTAGGATCAAGTAGATTGTTTACGAGTTTAGATATGGCGACTGGCTTTCATCAGGTACCTATGGAAGCAGGGCCAATCGCCAAAACCACTTTTGTGACCCCAGAGGGGTCACTTCGAATACGTTAAGATGCCGTATGGCCTTTCTAAAGCTCCAGTATTTTATCAAAAGATAATTTCAAAGACGCTCTAATCTTTCATCGATTCAGGAATGGTCACCTTGTGTACAGATGACGTTCTTTTGCTATCCGATACGGTACTTGAAGGATTAGAAGTCTTCGAAACCCTTACGTCGTCAGGTTTTTATCAATCTCAAGAAATGTACCTTTCTTAGTAGTGGAATAAAGTATCTTGGGAGGGTTATCAGTAATAGTCAGGTTAGGCCGAGCATGCGTAACGTCCAGGCTCTGGTCGATTCCCCAAAGCCTCGAAGCGTCAAACAAATTCGACAGTTCCTTGGCCTTGCGGGTTATTTCAAATTATTATATATTCCAAATTATGCATAGCGAACAGGTTGTA